AGAGAGAGAGAGAGAGAGCGCGAGCGGGAGAGAGCGGGAGAGAGAGAGAGAGAGAGAGAGAGAGAGAGAGAGAGCGAGAGAAACAGCGAGCGAGAGATACACACGTGAGCGTTGCCCCGCGGCAAATATGGGTCAGTGCGGTGTCGTGATCAGTCTACCGTCGCCGGAATCTCTATACTAGGATGCGCGCTCTCTCTCCACCCCCCTCCCTCCCTCTCTTTCGCTGCAGCAGCAGAAGGCAACCGTGCGTGAAGGCCAACTGGTGATCTCCTCCGAGGAAATGCCGCACGGAGAGATAGAGCGAGAGCGAGAGAGAGAGGAGAGGCGATTGCCCTCTACCGCGTGATGTCCTTGACGGGACTGTCCGACTGCCCGTGTCGTTAGGTTACGAGTGCCTTTGTTTACGAACCTGTTGCGCTGCAATTTCACGCCGGAATTGCTTTTCTACTTGGCGAGTTTTTTTTCTACTCCGGGAGCATCTCTCTCTCTCTCTCGTGCTCTTTCTCTCTCTCTCTCTCTCTCTCTCTCTCTCTCTCTCTCTCCTTCCCTCCCTCGTTATTTCTCTTCTCTCACCTTTCTATTTCTCTCGTTGCTTCTCTCTCCCTTTTCTGTTGCTCTTGTTGCGTCTCTTTCTCTACCTTCCGCTTCTTCTTCTTTTTCTCACGATTTCTCAACTCCTTCTCCCGTGACGTGGTGCACGACCTTTAGTGCGATAACCTTCGCGCAAGCTGTAGGTGAAATGTATAGCTGTTACCGAGTCTACTAGTATGTGTATGGTGTGCTACCCATGATGTAGTTAGGGCCCCGCCTCCCATCACCCGCTGGCACGGCGGAGGGGTGCATGCGAAACATTCGTCTATACTATAGCTAGCGACATTTCGCGGGGTTTCTCACACATTAGCTGTTAATAAATTCTGTTACAACACGTTGATTATCGATGAATGTGGTGTTGAAAAACTAATTACGCTAACGCCACACTCCCTTTCTATCTATGTTGCTGTTCGTTATGGGTGAGGTCGTCAGTACAGGTTCAGACCGTACCAGGTTCGTAAGTGATGGTGTGGGAGCGCTGTAATATTCGGGTAAAATTATGTGCTAAAGGTGTGTGTGTGTGCGCGCGCGCGCGTGCGTGCGTGCGTGCGTGCGGGCGTGCGTGCGTGCGTGCGTGCGTGGGTGCGTGTGTATCTGTGTGCTCGCGCTCGTGCGTGCGTGCAGAGCCTGCCATCAAATTCAATATTGGCCATTATAAATTCCCTAGCGGGTGATCCTGTCCCGAGGCTCGTACATACCAGTCTACTACAATACTAGATTCTGTAAGCCACTGTCATCTGTTACTGCAACGTCTCTGTGGAATGTGCTAGCACTACTGGATGGTCTGTGTGCGCAGCACTTATGTTGATGCGCACGTCCTGTACGTATATATACGTGTGTGCGTGTGCGTGTGCGATTGCGTGTGCGTGTGCGTGTGCGTGTGCGTGTGCGTGTGCGTGTGCGTGTGCGTGCGTGCGTGCGTGCGTGAATGCTTGTGTGTGTGTGCGCGTCCC